TGAAATCTTGATCAGATCTCATAAATGACATTTCTGGTCATTCTCAGTATTGAATTTTCTCTGAAAAATGTTTGACCCAAATTAAATTTTGTTCTAATTTCATAAGAAATTCTTCCTCCCACTATCTTAGCTCAAACCTAATTCAGGGTTGGAAGTCTCCAATAGGGAAAGGAATTGATTTCCTCTCTTCCTAACTAAAGATGCTCCCTCATTCACTATGCTGCCACCTCTAGTTCTTCTAGCGTGGGTGAATTTAGTGTGTATGAGTGAGAAAGGAAAAGACTGAACGAAAGGGAGGAAAGGACAGTGAAGATCATTCACGTCACGGTTGTACACTGAAATCATAGCCCTTCCTCAGCTGCATACCTAAAGACTGGTTCTTTATCTTGTGGAGGTACTTGGAGATGCCCAGACAGGAACCTCCCATCTGTTTCTTGACTCTAGGTATGCCTCCCTTGGCTCTACGTTCATCATTCTCCCCTCAAACCCTGGCTTCTGGCTATCCATACCACCAGATTCATTCTGTTAAGTTCACTCTCCCCTTCCAGGCCTGTTTACAGTATAAAAATAATCCACACTTAAATATATGCAACTAACATATATTATTTTTATATTTTTCTAACTGGTACACTGGATGGGCAAAACACCCAGGTACATTCAGTAAAGAATTTAAATTTTCTTCCATAGATGTCTTCAAATATGCCCTGATGGATCTCCCTTCCCACCTCCTGAACAAGCCCTTAGACAAACCCCATAGCTCTTCAGTCACTTTCAGCTTAAAAAAAAAATCCCATTTCAATTCTTAGAACACATTCTTCTCCTTGGCCTCACCTTGCTCTTCTGCTCTGGTTTCCTTAAGGTAGGTGGCAGAGAGGAAAGGGATGGAGGAAACAGGCAAAGTAATGATCCATGCTGTTGTAATCTAGTTTTTAGAACTCTGGGTCATATCAAGTATCCAAATGCTGGCTTACTGAGCATCTGAGGAATTTTCAGAGAACTACTTCCAGTTCCTCTGTCCTGTACCACTGCCTGGAACTAGCAGTGCATTGAACGGCTAACTTCTTGTAATTCTTACCCTCAGCAATTAATAAACAGTAGAATGCACAATGCCTCTTTTTGGAATCCCTCTTGAGTAGGGCCCTTTCAAGACACTTCAGGCCCATTTTCCACAGCATCTATTTGGTCCACAAGAACTCAGACATCTTTTGTCACCCAAAACGTTTAAGCACAGCTGGCCCAATCACTGACTCTTCCCTCCTCACCCTGCTACTAGGCCTACTCCATCTGGCACCATAAAGGATTTCCCCATGAATGAAATGGCTGACGTTTGCCCCTTTCAGTATGAATTATTTTTTTTAAAAAATTGTATTAAAAAATACAGTATCCTAATATAATTTACTTTTTAATTCATAGAATCCCTACCTTACATGGTATGTTAGCAGTTTTGACACAACTCTCTTTCTCAAGATACTTTCTGCCCTTGGATGCTCCTAACACTACTTTCGTATTTTACTTCTTACCATTTTGGTCATTCTTTCTCATTCTCCTCCCCACTCCACCTTTAAAAAGTATTCTCAGGACTCTGTCCTTGGTCTTTCTTAATTCTACCTTAGGTAATCTCATTGCCGCAGCTGTAAATCCCATGGCTTCAACTACCATCCACGTGTTAATGATTATGATTTTTTCCCTTTAGCCCAGCCTTTCATTCTATTCGCCTGCTTGACAACTTCAATTAGATGTTTTTATGGTATCTCAAACTTAAATCCCACTTGTTCTCTAGTATTCAGTATCTCAACAGATGGTCATATAAGTCACAGAATTGATCACAACATCTTTATCACCTCACTTCCTTAACCTCCACATACCATCATAGACAGAACATGGTCTTAAAATATAATTCTGATCTTACCACTCTCTATTTAAACCTTGTTAAATTCCCTTGAGAAAATTAGTAAACACCTTCTATTTTATCCATTCATCATGAATTCTTTATTCTGGATACGACTTTCTCTGTACACAATTCTGATGACTATGGGAACAACCACATTATAATACAATCCATTTGCTGGGCTCTGGACACTTGATACAAGTTGTAACACACTTCCTTGGCTACAATGATTGGTCAAAAGATAAGCACCTAACACCCAACCTAAGCCTTTCTCCAGGGCTTATAGGGCTTGAACAGAAAGGGAGTTCACCAATCTCTGAGGGTTTTTAAACTACAAATTGTTACACATAAGAGTGGTAGGCAGTCATGTTTCCTGCCACACAGACCAGATAAAGTTAAGAAAGCTGGTGTACAGAATGAGAAATGTGGGTGGGAGAAAACTAAAGTCAGGAAGGCAAAAGTAAAAGACAAAAAGAGTTCTGAGTTTTCCAGTCCCTAATTCTAGCCAATTCTGAAACCTGGTTATATGAATCACTCTAGTAACCTACAATAATGTCCTTTTGGCTAAAATGAATTTGTGTTAGGTTTTTCTCACTAGCAACCAAGAATTGCTAGTGACAAAAACCAAATAAAGAAAGAGACCAAAATATTAACCAACCCATAATGCCCTACATGATCTCATCAGCCTAACAGCATCTCTCTCAAATCCCCTCAACACAGTACACTGGCAAAATGGCATCCTTTAGATGTTCATACACACAAAGCTGTTTTATTCCAGGGCCTCTTTTCCCTTCTCTTTTACTTAATGCAATATGACTTATCTTTCAAGTATCAGCTTAAATGTTATTGGCTCAGAGTATCCCTGACTTTACCTTCAGAGCACACAGACTGGATCCCAAATGTGTCTAGTTTCAATGACTAGCCTCCCCAAGTTAAGCGTATACTCACATGCACAAAATAAGAAAATGCTTATAGTTATAGCAATTCTGATAAATTTCTTACCTCAAATGCCCATTCTTTTTCTTCTTCCCCATCCAGAAACAAACGTGTTTCTTTATAAACTTGGCCTATATCCAGGTTTAATGGGGATACATCAAATTCAAGCCGCTGCAATTCAAATCCTAATCCAACACCTATTGCTTTTATGAAGCTTTCTTTCAGTGCCTAAGATACAGACAGACATTTTCTCTTAGAGCTTTAGTAGATAAAATTGTTCATAAAATCTACTGTCTCCAAAACATATGAAGTTCTAATTCTTTACTACTTCACAGCTATAAGCTATTTATTTTTACCCTTATAGTAGCATGGAAACAAACCAGCTGTGAGAACTTAAGACAAACCATTTAAGCTCCCTTTGCCTCCATTCCCTCATGTATAACATATAATAGTAATAGTACCTTACTAGTGGGGTTGTTATGGTAATTAACTAACTTATGAAGGGCTTACAATAATGTTTTCTGGCACATAATAAATATTATATGTTAAATAAGGGCTCATGTGTATGAGATCCTTTAAGACAGAAAACCTTATTTATAAATAATGATAAACTGTCTTGTTTTTAGCTTTAAGAGTATCTTCTAGTTGAGCATTAAATATATGCTAAATTTTCTTAAATGTCATTAGAATATAATAATGTGTACATAAAAATCATGAAGTTCCCAAGTAATGACTTATTTACCTCAAACACTGTATGAACTACAGGTTTACCACAGGACTTTTGCTCCTGTTTTTAGCAAAGATAATGGAATCAACACAGGGGCTTACTCTCAAAACTAGAAAGAAATTATACCCAATTCCTATAAAACATATCCAGCTGAGTCCATTCATCCTTAAAGCTTCTGATTGTTTCCCATTCTTTGTTGGTAAACTTTCTTTTCATAATATGAAAAAATTCTGGAATTGAACCACGACCTGTCAATTGAGGAAACAGAGAATTACCAAAACTATTAGCGCATAAAAGAAAACTATAGTCCAACTTTACTTTTGAATACAGTCACAATAATCCTAAACAAAATATCAGCAAATCAAAATAAGTTGAGAGAAGGGTAGCTTAATAGAACAGTGAAATTCTGTGAATTGTTAAATAATTAAGGAGAAAAAAACATATGGTTATATATAGATGCTCACCAAAAATTTGATAAAATTTAGCAGCCAAGCTATTATAAATCTTAAATAACTAGGGGAAATTTCCTATATATGAGAGAATATCAGAAATCCAAAACAAGTACTCTTAAAATAGAGCAATAGTATGCTGGGGTTTAAAATTTTGCTTTGCCATTTCACAGGAAAATCAGGGAACAATTTTTTTACTATAATTTTGAGGGAACTGGTAGAAAGCTAAGGAGTGTTATTTTATCCTAAGTTATTAACATGACTGGAAAGTTAATATATACTTATTTCCTTCACAATAACTGTTTTTAAAAATGTTTTCTAATATGACTTTTCCAAATAAAAACAGATTTTAATTTCTGTTCTACTGGCTCATTTTAAAAAAAATCTCAAGTATATCCTTAGCTCCACTGTTCCATAGACAATAAAATTTTACATAGCATCCAAAAATAAATAGAACTCAAAGGATCTGACTCCCAGAACTAAGAGCTAAGACACAAATTAAAATATATGGTATGTCTTTCATATTGTATTTTTTCAAAATATTATAATTATGTGTTTGTCTATCTTTACTACTAAGCAGAAACCTTCTACCATCATTCATTTACTTATTCTACAAGTATGTAGAATGTGTACAAATACTATACCAATATGAATTGAACTAATGGTTAAAAACAAATCAGTCATGGTTCTTAGCCTCACACAATTACAGCCTAATTGGTCAATCAGAAAGTCTGGCAACAAGGTAGGTGAATCACATGTTTACTATATGAATAAATGTACATTAACTATTATGTGGTAAATTACTCCTAAATGCTCTATTGCTCTGTATCCTTAGTTCATGATTACATTACTTCCAGTAAGCCTCTTGAAAGTAGTCCCTCTGCAGATTCTGTTAACATAGCTTGTCTACTCCGCAACTCCCATTTCTAAAATACTCAACTCCAAAATCTGACATTCCCAACTGGCTGCAACCATAGCATGTCTGGAAAGAAGAAATATGTCAATTCCCCTACTTAATGCTTTACTGGCATTTAACAACTAACTAACCCCATGAGAATTCAACATTTAGAATGACAACTATATCATTCACTCTAAAAATACCCAAGTGCTAGATGCCAGGAATATCATGATAACCAAAACAGACATGGGTCCTTATGTTCATAGAGAGTTTAAAGTTTCTCCTACAGTAACCAAGTACCTTTCCCATAGTTACCTCAAGGGTAGAAAATATTAAAAACGAGCTCTCCCACAAAACTGTCTACAATTCCCCCATCATCCCTACTTCAAAATGGTCAAAACAGTCTCCTCTTATTTACCTAGGAAATATTTCTAATGACATTCCAGTGATATGTGGTTCTTCACTTCACTTCTTCACTTCCTTGTTTGTTTTCAAGTTCAACAGACTCATTTAATTAATCTGTCTACTCTTTAGTCCTCTACTATTCGTAAGAAAGATAACTTTATAATCCATTTTTACTAATCAACTAATGTTTATTGTTTGTATCTGTTCATATTAATGTTAAAAGGCTATTATTTCCTAAAAGCCCTGCAAAGCTGTAAAGTCATTTCATGCAACAGCACTGAAATATTAAACTGGGACCTTAGGAGTCCCAGGGCAGGGCAGGAGATTCTTACCCTTTTGGGTCTATGAACCCCCTTTGATAGTCTGGTGCTTATTCCTCAAGCCCCTTAAATAAAGACTGTCTTATTAAAATGCAATGCATCACTAGTACATACTGGCTTGACAGATAAAACACTAAAGAAAGTAAAGAAAGCAAGCTTGCAAAAGTTACAAAAGTAAATCTGGAGATTTTAAACACTGGGAGCACTATACCTACATAAATTGTAAAGTGTTTCCTCTTGAATAGATTCGGGTACAAATAGTGTAAATAATAACAATGAGAAGAACAGCTACCTTGGATTTTGGAAAACAGCATTATATATTTTGAGTGGAATTGTAGTTTTAACAGAATACTATCCAAAAAGCCTAAAATTTAAAAAGATATGCCTGTTGTCATCTATAGTGTCATTATGTTTGTTGGTTTCTTCAAGTTATAATTCCATAACCGTCAAGAAACCCCCTGATTTTTACCTAAATATGATGAGGCAATCGAGGAAAAAATTTAAATATTCACACTAATAAAAAAAAACTCATTTAACATAAAAAGCAATTTAGCACAACCACTGGAAAGCAATCATAACTGATCATGTACAGCTAAAAAATATCCGACATGAGTGTGTTTTCATATACTTTTGAGAGCATCATATCCCACAAAATAAGAGATTGACAGCAACAGAAAAAGATGACTTTGTAAATATTCAGCCAAAGACAACAGCGCCACATTGTGGCATTATGGTGAAAATACACAGTGAATGAGTACTCTGTTAAGGACTTAATTTATCTAGGAAATTGGAATTTTAAAAAAATCAGTAGGAAATACCAGAATAGTACGTTTGCCCCTCAAACTAGCTGAGACAGCACAATTATTAGACACATAAGTTGGCAAAGCCTCCTAATAATACCAACACATATTCATGTCTATTACAATATTCAATTTAATAGACATATAAGAACTTAAGTTAAAAAAAGATAAAGATGAAATAACTGAAAAACTTATATAGAACCACTAACCAGGTTTAGAAAAGCTAGATCCCTCATCTTATAGCTTAATCTTTAGGGAAAGCAGCACTAGATATTAACTAAGTGTTCTGCAATGGTCAACTCACCAAGGTCACAGAGCAACTAGAAAGTTTATTAAACAGAGTAGTAACCTACAATAGTAACCTACAACAAAATAATTTAGAGTTGAGCCTTGAACTAGGCAGGTTTGAACTGTGAGGGTCCATGTCTTCCAAAACTCATGCCCACACAGAAACTAAAAATGTGACCTTATTTGGAAATACAGTCTTTGCAGGTGCAATCAATTTAGGATGGATTAAGGTGGGTCCTATATCCAATGATTGGTGTCCTTATAAGGAGAAACATTTAGACACGAAGAGAGAATATAGGGGAAAAGCCAACATAACAATGAAGATAGAAAGTAAAGTGATATAGCTACAACTCAAGGAATGCCAAAGATTGCCAGGACACTAGGAAGAAGCAAAGAAGAATTATTCCCTGGAATCTACAGAGGTAACATGGCCCTGTCAACACTTTGACTTCTGGCCTTCAGAACTGTCAGAGAATAAATTTCTGTTTTTTTAAGACACCAAGTTTTTGGTACTTTGTTAGGAGCCCTAGGAAACTAATACATTCATGCACACAATTTAATTCATTTATACAGACACACTCATATACTCTTAGCTTTAGTGTTATACCCCTGGAGTCAAATGTTCAAATCCTGGCTCTAACACTTCTTTACTATTATTTATTTAACTTCACTATGGCTGTTTCTTAAGGTATAAAATAGGGGAAAAGAGCTGGGTAGTTTAAGAAATAAACATATAAAGGAGCTATTAAGTACCTAATAAATGTTAGTGCTAAGGCTATTGTGGTAGTTGTTTTATACATATATATCCTCTTTTGTGAAATGTTTTATCAAGTCTTTGTCCATTCATTAGGTAAGTCTTTTTTTTTTTAATGTATTTTAAAAAAATTAATTAATTTATTTATTTTTGGCTGTGTTGGGTCTCCGTTGCTACGTGCTGGCTTTCTCTAGTTGACGTGCGCGGACTTCTCATTGCAGTGGCTTCTCTTGTTGCAGAGCACGGGCTCTAGGTGCACGGGCTTCAGTAGTTGTGGCATGTGGGCTCTAGAGCACAGGCTCAGTAGTTGTGGCGCACAGGCTTAGTTGCTCCGTGGCATGTGGGATCTTCCTGGACCAGGGCTCGAACCCATGTCCCCTGCATTGGCAGGCGGATTTTTAACCACTGTGCCCATTAGGTGAGTCTTAAGTGGCTTTTCTATCAATACTTACAAGTATTTTAAATATTAACAATATTAAGCTCTGTCTGTCTTATTTGCCCCAGTTTGCAAGAAGAGATTTAATATAAAATCAATCACATATGCTAACTTTACGGGTTCTTCTTATCTAAGATTAAAAGGCATCCTTCTTTCAAAATTCTGGCCAAATATACAATTCTATTGTGTTCTAGTAATTGTTATTAAAATTTAATTCTAATTAATTCTGTTGTACACTGTGTAACAAGGATCTAATGGCTTTCAGACAATTTTACTCATGAAAAAAAAAGTTGATGGGTTACAATCTTTCTTTTTGTTGGCTCTATAAATTACATCTAATACAGTGTTTCCCAAATGCTAATATGTCTAACAATCATGTGAGAAATTGTCTGAATATAGAATCCTTGGTTGTATCTAAGAAATTCTCGTTGAAGAGGTCTGGGAGGGTTTCAATGAACATGCCATTTTTTCAAGGAACCTGCATTTTTAACAGGCAACCTGGCTGATTTTAATATCCTGACCACCATTTCAGAAACACCATTCTATACATATAACAGTAATAACTATCACAACAACCTTAGAGCGAACACTTACTTATTAAGTACTTAATAATTCCAGGCACTTTACATGTTTATTCCCAATCTAGCCAATGCTAGTGGTGGTATAACTGTTGAGCCATCAGTATGTAAAACATATACACACAAGTTTTAGGGGAATTAAAGATTTAAATGTTAAAAAAAAAAAAGTGCAATTTTAGAACAAAATCTAGGAGACTCTATAACCTACGGTTGGAGTAAATCTTTTACCAACTTCATTATTTTTTTTTTAAATGAGACAGAGTTCAGAATTTATCAAGGAAAAGTTAGATATATTATTTAAATAAAAGACAAAATTCATA